AGACTAATACTAAAAGACATTCTTAGATAATGAAAGGGCGAAAGAGAGAGAGAGAGAGGCGTCAGTTGTCATTTCCCTTCGACTATTGAGCAGTGCAGTTTGATTTCATTTGAGGGTCTCTTGGCAGTCTCCTTCGCTTGTCTCTTTAAACCCCCGTAGTCTGAACGTGCGTACGTGTATTTATTTCGTCCAGGATCGACAGATCCGTCGAGATCGTCAAGGACGTGAGGACGTATAAAATAAAAAATGAAAAAGAGGAAATGCCTTCCGTGGGATGTAGTCAAATAGGAATACAATGTTGAAATCCCTCCGGTTATGAATTTCGCATCCGAGTCGCGCGGGTCCTCAAGAGAAAACTAATCTGTGTTGAACTAGCTGGAAAGAATTACGAGATCTGTGAAAGCGTTGCTACCGTATCTATAGCAGGAAAGGAAAAACCGGATCCAATCCCGATGCTCACTACCACCGCAGACGATGCCTCTGACGTCACTTCTTTCTCCTGTGAGATGGACAGGGCAGTGGCCGTGGGGGGGGGGGAGTGTCATTCCATGGAAATGTTGAAGAGAACAGGTTGGGCTTCCTGGACCGGAGTTTGCTGGCTTCAAACTCAACTTTGTGAAAACTCTCTTGCTGCAGAAACGAACTATTCGACAAGCAGCGTCTTCTCCATCCTTGACGTCCCTGTTCTGGGAAACAAAGGAAGGCGATGCAGGAATCCAGGAAAGGTCAGAGCGAGCGGGCGAAACAACACAACAGGGGGAAAAGGGCATGACGCGAGATGGCTTTTATCAAGTTAGGTCCGTCTCAGGTGTGACAACTCACCTCGCAGCCGATGGATTAGGTGAATTGGACTCGAAATGCTCGGGGGGTTCCCCGGGTGCCAGTTCAACGAGGTTCCACCAGACTTTTTAGGGAATGAAAATTGATCCAATTCCGAAGAAATTACAGGAAATGCAGACACGCGATGCGTTGCTATGGCATGGAACGTGAATAATGCAGGACCAGCGTGAAGCAGGGACGGTGAATGTTTAACGGAAATTCTCGGAGAGTTGCTGTATTTTTTATTTGTCTCACTTACAGATGAAGTTTTCATTGAACGAGTTCCGTCCTATCTGCGTCTCTCAGAATCGATGCGGAAATTTGACGGTTCCCGAGTCCGTTAATGGACTGTGGAATGCTTCTTCCTGCGGATGCTGTGATCGTGTTCCCTCGAGATGAGAGATCTATCTTCCTCTTCTCGGTCCCTGCGTAAATGAGCACTCCTCGGCAGCTGCCAAGCGTCTCGTTAAAGCAGCCCCTTTATTGGAGATTTCGGCAAGTTTTCCTTCCGCGTCGGCGGAGCGAGACGCAATTCTCGTTTCTTTTTTTTTAAATCTGTTGACGCAGGAGTCCACGTGCCGACTTTGTATTTCGTATGCGAGTCCGAATGTATATTTTATTCGCCTCGAACCTCTTCATTTCGGTTGCGATTATACCGCACGAACGACCGGAATTACGACTGACCAGATCGCAAGGGATTCCCGACGATCAGAAAAGGCAGGAAAAAATGAAACCCGGCGGCAGAGCGTAAAAAAGGAACTGATTGGCTCTGCCCACCCCTATAAAACCTTCAAAACATGTGCAGGAAATATTACCCATAAAAATCATTTATTTATTATATTTTATTTCTTTTTTTTTGCCCCAGTTTCTACTTCTACATTAAGTTCCCTGTTCTCAATCTCTTTGACTAAGTGATCCGCGTCTTCTCAAGATAGCTCGAAAATCGCCGTGCATGACAAATGACAGATCCATTCCTCGCGTGCTTGGTCATAAGTGACCTAAACCAATATTGCACATGAATAAGGTAACCAGACGTCCCGATTTAGGCGGGACAATCCCACTTTCAGACCACATGTCCCGGCGTCTTCCGATGAAGTAGGAAGGACGCCCATATGTCCCGCTTTTGGGAAATCTCGGAGAGAGAATGACATGACGGTCGAATTTTCTCCCTTGCGAGTTTCAGAACTTCTAAAGAATATCACCTCGAGCTAAACCTAGCGAATATCATGATTATGAGTAGCATACCTTCTTTTTTTCTTATCCATGGCAACTGCGTAGATCTATATTGGCAATGCGAAATCGGATTATCGAACAACAAAAAGCCATGCTAGCTTTTGCTAGCAAGCACCTGTTCATGTTCAGACGGTGAGGCCGGCCCCCCTGCTATCGTTCTCTTTTAAATTACGTGAATAATATGATACCTTTAGGACTTGGCTCGTTTTGCGTCGATCGAGAATGGATTCAATGGTTCTCAGAGATTTCTTTCAGGTATTTGATATCTTAATATGTATTTTCAAATTGTATGGGTAAGTCACTCCAGAGAATTTTTGAGGAAGCCGGACCTCTTGCAAAAATGGGCCAAATGGGCTCATGATAGTATCTCTTCCGATCCCTCTCCTCCGAGGGGAAGCAGAAAGAGATCTCGAGCAAAAAACCTGAGAGCGAGGCTAGAAAAGGGCAAAGATGGGAGTGAAAGGTGTGGGTCACGCCAGTCACATGTGGATACTCGCTGCAGTAAAATGAAAATGTCGCAAAAGCGTCCTGCATATGTGACGCTGCTGACATTTTTTCTGAAAACGGAAGGACCACAACTCGGATGAAAGTCATGAATAACGTTAAGGAATTTACAGTTGCTTATCTGCGCTGTGAAATCTGGACTGAATCCCGAAATTAAATCTGTTCAGCTTTAGCTTTGTTTCAAATATTGAATGCGCTTGTATCATTCATTGTTTAAATTTTGTTTCCACCATTTAATGAAAACTTTCCGTTTCATTTTCCATGTTCGCGTGTTCGACGTCGTTTTGCGTTTTCCTCTTCTGAAGACTTGATAACGCCTTCTTTCATTCGGAGACACTTGAAAGACAGCTCAAAAGAACTTTCCCGAAACTCTCAATCCCCCCCCCCCCACACCCCAACTTTAGGGCTGATTGCGCTACTGCGGATGCACAATTAAATAATAGTTCTAATTCATGTTTTGGCAATAATAAATACAACTGTCAGTCCAACAAATACATTAATGTTCTTTTTTATGAGGCAAGGGAAGTATTTATCGGGCGTCCCACTTTCGCGACACAGAAATCTGGTCACCTTATACATGAAGCAATATGTAAGCCATTTTCCAGAGTCCCTCCTCCCTCCTCGGGACTTACTGACGTTGGGCCTAGGCTTAATTCACGGTCTTTCTTCGGGTCAGATCTATGCCAACCGTTTTTCCTTGAAAAGACTCTCTACCCTCGACTTACCGGGCCAATTGGACCTATAAGGGTCTATCTCGGGGTTTACGAGACATTCCGCTGAGGACGACAAATGTTAGCTCGATTATAGGTCTGCTTCGAGTTTCATGAACCATTTCAGTGAGGACGTGTGGCGTTTTGGTCTTGGAGTTTCTCGAACCATCTCGACTGGGTCTGAAGGGAGCAAGCCTCCGAAATTCAAATGCGTGTTGGACGCCATCTTGTTAATTCAGGGATGTCCGTGCACGATCTGTTCATATCCCACCATATCGATCGGTCACAGCAAACAGCGTTTGAATCTCAGCTCATTCCCTGAACTCAGGATAAAAGTGTGTCATACAAGGAAAAAATAAAAAACAGAAGATCCGGGTACCGATGCGAAAGTCGAAGTAGTCATTAATCCGACGTAACTCCAGCACGATATTCGGCAACCCCGGGGGACGAGATTGGAGCCCCCAAGCTAAGCCTAACTGAACGACATCTAATTTCCTTTTTTCATTATAGCGAAATGATGCATTGCAAACAACAAAAAGGGTAGTTTTCGTGATCGACATGTCAATATCTTTTCTTTGGTGGGGTTGTCTCCTCCGAAAGCCCCCCAGGAGTGGCTACCCAGGAGGGAGAACAAAATATGAGAGGATTCAAATTCATATCTACGTATCAGATTCGGTCTTCTCAACCAGGGGAGTCGGAGCGTCAAATTTTCTGGTGCGATTCTGTGCTGAGAGAGTGCGAAGCATGTCCAATTTCGCTCCTCTAGATTCTCTCTGAGAGGATTCCGAGGAATTTGAATTTTGTAATGCGAGGGGATTGAAGGAAAGGAATAAGCGCCACCGCGCCTTTTTTGGTGGACCTGTAGGACCTCTGCTTTATTCCTTGATTTGCCTCTTTTGTCTCTCGTTCATTCCTTTTTGCATTTTCTTTTTCTTTGAGCTATGGTTTACCTCTCGTCCACCGTGTTTTTCCTCCCTTGGCTTTACTTCTTTCTTGCTCTTTTTCTTCTAACATTTTAATATAAATTTTTCATTTTCCCTCCCTCTCTTGCAGCTTTTTATTTATTGCATTTACGCTTTTTTTCTTACCTTCTTTTGAAGTCCCGCATTGGTTCCCAATTACCAATTTGGCTTAACCAATGGTTATGTCGCTGATAATTCTATTGGAAACTGTAAGGGATGAGATTCAGTGTGGAAAATCAGAGGGAAAATATATCGCTTCAAAAAATCGGCAGAATCGACCGGCTTCAAGGCAAATGCGTCTTCCCAGAAAAATTAACTTTTAGGTTTAGTGTCGATATTTAGCAGAGTCCTGAAGGAAAAAAAATCATTCTGAATACATCTCTGAGACAGGAAATGAGCGACTGTGTTTTTATAATACATGGAGCGGCACTAGCAATTAAACCTTTGTACAGTGCTGTCCGTTGTGTGCAGTCTCTGGACAAGAGCAAACTTGCGAAACTTGAAAAGAGTCAAAGTTGCGATTGGTCTCTTGTTTGGAATTTCTCGTGGCGGTCCGGGCATTCCGTGGCGGCTTGCGATGCGTCCACGGACGTTTGCGTCCGCGGACGTTCGGTGGCGGTGCGCTGCTGATTTTCATGTGCGGCGGGGAAAAGCCGCTACCGAGGCGAACACGCTATTGCATGGGGCTAATGTCTCGGCGAATTCTGTTCGCGTATTTTTCAATCTCTCCTCGCACTTCGTGTTCATGAATGAGATAAAAGAGAATTGATATGCGGCAATTTATTCAGATCTTGTACTAATGTCAATAACGTCGGGCGAAAACGATGTTCAAGCTACGATTGGACAGAAAGAGAAAAATTTTGGAAATTTTCCGCTTCTCCCATAAAATTTTCAATACATGACTACTGGACAAACTCAAGCTCAGACGGAAAAAAACAAAAGAAGAATCGAAAGGGTGCAGTGTCGCGTGAAGATAGAAGCCAAAGCTCGTGATGGAAAATAAAATATCGACTCGTGTATTTCTTCGAATGGACGCTGCAGGACACAGAGAGACGGAAGCAAGATCTAATTCCAAAGCGGAAAATAAATTTGCTACAGGATGCAATTATTACACATACAGAGAAGAGAAGCCTCTTTGAAATTTTTCAAAAGAATCAGAGGAGCAAAAACAGATGAGACAGTTTGGAGACCAAGACACTTCCCCTTTCTGAAGATCTGAGGAGCTTTTGGGAAGACTTTCCCCCAGGGAGATGAGAGAAACTGCTTTTTTTTTCTTTCTTTATACAACAGTGACATCGAGAACATGCGTCAGAGCATCCATAAATAATTCACGCCAACATGTCATAAATAAAGCAGTCAACGGCAATGTCTTCACGCTGTTATCCAGATCATCGAACCCGTTCGAAAAATTTTTTTTTTTTACGGAGGAGACGTGGGAAATAACACAGGTATGACGAATCCGTCTCGGAGCGGAAACCAAAGGATGTATTGCACGTGAACTCCTCTAGGAATGACTCACTCAGAATGGGGTTAAAGGTCACGAGTACATGACCTGACTGCGTCCCACAACTCAGGTGTCTCTCCTCGTCCATCCCTAAGAGAAAAATTCAAATTCGTGCTGAAAAATCGTTCAAGATTTTCTATCCATCGATAAACTATTAAGGAGGAAGAGATCTCGCTGCCTATCTACCAACTCGTCCTCAGTCTATCTGATCACTTTAAAGGATAGAAAAATCGAAACCAGTCGAAACAGGAATGGAAACTCACGAATGGGTGGAAAAGGAGAGATTAGCAGAGGGAATGGCATTGGGCGGGATGAAGGAGACCCTGGGTCATGCATCGCCTCATGCAGGCCGTGCTTCTCTTGCCCTTCTCGCCGCGTTTCCTCCTCCTCCTCTTGGCCCATGGAGGGCCTCGTCCTGTTTCAGCAAATACACATCTACATATAGCATATGTATCAAATGATATTTTATCTAATAGATATTTAATGTCAATATATATGTGTCAAATAAAAGATGAGAGGTGATCCCGGAAAAAGGAATGAAAAATCCAAGTCTTCGTCGAAGGTTCCCCGCTTTTGTCTGAAGTCGATTCCGCGCGTTTCGTGGATGACGCGAGTTGGAGGATGTGAAATGTGAATATCAGCCCAAGTATGTTTGGGAGAGTGGCGTCAAATGTAAATGTAGTGTTTGAAAAGAAAACCTCTGAGAGCGTTTCATCGATCTGAAGCCAGAGGGCAAAGAGAAGATGAATGTGAATGAAGAATAACACTTTCAAATGGCTCGTCTTTTATTTTATTTTTTTTTTAACCCAATGGGGAAAACAAACAAAGAAAATGAATAAATGAATAGACAACTACCTCCATTACTGAGAAGTCTTCACGTTGGCACGTTGCCTTTTGTCATTCTCTTTCATCCATTCTGAATCCTATTTCCTTCCATTTTCCTCAACTCGTTTTCATTTTAAATTGCAATCTACTAAATCCTAAATTGAAGTAGAATACCTGGAAACGCTGATATACCTACAGACATCCGAGTGATTGCAGAAGGAACCTCATTTAATTCTCAAATAAAAAGAGCTCGCTGAAGAGAAAAAGACGATGTAATGAGACCAATTGAGGCGATTTACTCAGGAAAAATCCACGTGAGAACACGATCTCATCAAGCGAACCCGAGCAGCTTATTTAAGAGATTATGTAATTAGTAATACTTTCCCGGAAAGGTAGTCATGTAATAATGCGTAAAATAGGCTTCACTCGTGAGAAATAATGGGGAAATTCATATATGTAGGGGGTTCATAGACAATTTCTTCGACGACCTAAAATTCAGATGGTCCTGAATGACGAGTGGACCATAGGAAGCCAGAGGGTAGGTTCGACCTCTACTAACTGTCCACTTTAACACGTTGCGTACCTGCCATCTTACCCCCATCGAACCACCGCTCTGAGCTTCAGTTACATTAACCTAAAGCTCGAAGCCCACAAGGCTATGGCTTTTTCGGCCATAGGCTAGGCAAAAGGACTCAAAAACGGAGATCTCCGTGAGCGGTACGCAAAGTGTGTTAAGATGACTGCAAACTAACCGCGAAGGCAATGCTAAAAAAATTACGCTTGATACCCTCGTACCCTGCGTCAAATAGCTATTTTTAAGTCCGACGTCTTCAGGCTTGAAAAAGTTTCCTCTAATTTAAAAAAAATTAGTGTCAATGAATACATGCTCTAAAGACAATATAAAATAATAATACAATAGTATACTTTGGAATAATTATTATAGATAGATTATAATGCTTAAAATATTGCTTAAAATAATGGTATTGGGGCTAAATAAAAAAGAAACAAATATAGGTAGATGATACTAGGCCCGTGAGCCATGCTTTTGCCGTGTTTCAACTTAATATTCAACAAAAATTTAGTTGGGCGTTCATGGGCATCATTACACTAAATGCATGTTTTCCGAGCTTCCCTACCTTGGAGGACAGGGATTCGAAGAGGATCAACGATGATGGATCTCCTGTCCTGCTCTTCTAGTCGTCGCTCCAATTCGGCTAATGGAGGCTTCCATAATATGGGCGTGGTGCCAGGGAAATCGCCGTCGTCTTCCTTCCCGACTGCTTCGTTGTCGTCTTCGGGTGGTGGATTTTCCAAGAGCAAGGTGGATCTCAGCGCCAGGTCTTCCATCTTCCAGGGATCGATTGCCGGATCTTCCAATCCTGGAAGGATATTTCATCAATCAAGCCTTTTTTTCGACCACTCAGCCGATTTGATCCGATTTCACTCATTCAGTGAGAACCACAATGCATAATTTCTTCAGATTTTGAACGATAACGAGGTATCTGGGATTGGAAATGACTCCTGTTGCCTGAAACCCCTTGGATGCGATATGAAAAGGGAAATCAAGATCAAATTGCCGCACGTTTGCAACCAGTGCAAACCACGTTCGTAATAAGAAACTACCTTTTCTATTCCGGACCGACTGACGTTGTCCAGGCTTCTGTGCCTCATATAAAGATCTTGAAAGGAGTCTCACGTAGGCTTCCTATATTATGATGCGGGGATTCGTATTCGAGAAACGATTCGGGAAGCCACATTCTTTACCCCTTGGTGGAGCTTCTTGCCCGAATAGACCAGAATTATTTTAGGCTCTCCCAGACACGCTTGATTCCTTCCCCGTTGTTCCGCCTACGAAGTAACGCCAAAGAAAGACAAACAGAAGAAGAGATCCAGAGTATATTTATATAACAGAAGAAGGGAATAGTATCAGCTCTCCCGCCTCCACATATTTTTCCCCCTCTGAATCGTTCCCTTCCTCTCAAAGGCTATACCTGTCGCGAATCAGGAGGAAATTGGATCGGAAATGGTTTTCGGTCTCGAAATATACCTCAGATGGAAAACCCGTGCCATTTGTTGACTGAAAAAGGAGGGAAAAATACGACGCAGATCCTCTCTTTATTGGTTATTGATAACAAACAGATCTCGTTTGGGCTGTTTAGGCAAGTTAAATAAAATGTAAGGGAGCCAAATGATTCCTGAGCAGGCGACCGGAATATCTGCTGATTCCTTCATAATCCAACTAACAAGAACATGGGAAATGACGACGCGACATATGGGTCGTTCACATGATCACAATGGATCCATGGTGCGGCGTTCCAGACTATTTTCAAAAAACTGGACGAACAGTACGTGACCGTGAGCGAGAACAGCGACCGCTCGAGGAGCTACCCGTTATTTTTATTTTTTATTTTTTTTTTACCATATTCAGCCTACGCGAGGACAACGAGGGGAGGGAAGCAGATTGACCTATCGGGTCGACCTCGCTTCAAGAAATCAAACGCAAAATGATGATGATGAAACTACGAGGATGTTCAGGGAACCAGGGATGCAGGACGAGTAGTAAGAGAGAAACCGAGAAGCTGTGCCTGAATTCACCTATGCCTCCTTTTCTCAACGCGATTCGAGTCATGCGTCCAGGTAATCGGATAGAGTCTTCCTCTCGCTGATTACGGTTCTTCGTTCGCATTTCCTGCCCTTACCCCTAAAATAAACTTTCGGAAACGTCTATGATATACGAGGAAAAAGAGGAAAAGTTTCCTTCGAACGACGCCATCACGTTCCTCAGCCTTCTGTCGGTGAGCATTCTGCCTCTGATGCTCTTTTTAAGATTAGATGAAGATACGAAAAACGAACAGAAGTTGCCACTCAGCTTTTCCTGGAAGATGAAGCAGGAAAAGGTATGAAATCGCCAATAATATATGATTGTTCTCCCTAATGCTTCTCTTCCATCTGCATCTCCGTATGAATCCATTAAAATTGAAGCGATTTCATGCTCCTTGTCTCCATCAATAAGAATTACGGCGAGTTTCGTTCTGACAGCTTTCATCCTTATACGGTGAGTAATTCATGGGTACGATTGAAATCATTCCGCCATGGAGGAAAGAGCAGTTCGTATACGAAGGGACGACTTTTACAGGAATCTCTTTCCACTGGAGTCTCTCCAGCCTTCCAATTTCCGGGGCTTTGCCAAGGCATAAGCCGTGAGTTCGGCCGGTCGACACCCAATTTCACGGGGGTGTCTCCGTTCTGTGACGACAGTCGAGGCTCGTGTTGATTTTATGAGGGTCCTCTGATCATCGATTCTCAAATCATCTTCTATATTTAGCTCACCTGCATTTGCGTGTACAATGCATCAGACATGCACGAGATTCGGGACTAATTACTTGTTGATCACCATCGCTCATATCGTGATGCATCCGGCTGATTCCCGAGGGTCCCAGCCTCTCCATGCATACAAGTCATTTCTCTATTTCTTTCCCCGTTTCGTGATATCATGAATAGGGTTATTAATTGCCTTGTCATCCCCACAAGTCTGACATGAAAATTCATCATGCATATCCGCATGACAAGGGTTCGTGCGCTCTTGTCAACAAGCTGATGAGATCTCTCTCGGTAAGAGGATTATTTTCCCATTCCTTTTCTCTCTTCTCTCTACGCCGAAATTCCGGCTATGCAGAACAAGTTCCGGAGGAAAACACCTCTGCCAATAATAAAAAATATAAGTCGGCCGTCCTCAAGTCGCGCGATTGACTTAATCCTATTGATTCACAATCCAAGTCGAAATCTATGAGAGTCGGCGGAAAATGGCAGCGTAGTTTGTCGCGTAGCTGCAAGCATAAGAAATGTAACTGAGCTAAGTTACAGTTACCTATCATGTGACTTGAGGTCAAGTTGAAGTTATGCCCATTTTGTCCACTTGCAGCAACTCTTCACATTTGACAAAACTTCCACCTATTATCGAGAATACACGGGAACTACCACAGGACTTAGTGCAATCGCAGAAACGGAATCTCGAAATTCAAGAAACCACGTACTTCTCATGAAAAATTCGAAAAGTGGTCATTAACTCTAGGAAACAGGAACGAGAACGACAAAGTACAAGGTAAAAACAACAAATCGACGCTACTGCGTCATTAACGCTGCGAAGAGGAAAGTCACCTGGTTGGCGAAGTGGTAGCCGAATGTCCTCTGCAGAAGGAAGAAGGCGGAACTCATGGCTTCCTAGTTCCCTGTCCTCTCTCAGGAATGGCAGTCCTTCTGCAACATACGGGATCGATCACCACTGTCTTTCCTTTTTTAATTATATATTTTTTTACGCATTCAAAAGTGGTCGCTATCAAATTTTGAGGGATAAAAAAATTGAATGTCGGTGTTTTTTGCTGAAGTTGATAAGCTGCCCTGTTGCCATGCTTGCATGTTCGCCCATCCACTTGTCGATATGTCGACAGTGACATAACATACTGACATGTTAACATTGACATTTTGGAATGGATATTTTGACTCGAAGGTCTTGATGTGTTGAGATATTGATACATTGTTCACATCCTCAATTGCTCACATGCTCTCTAGTCTAAATGCCTCATCTTCACACTTTCAAACCGCCGAAATGAATATTTATTTGTTTACACAATTACGTGTCCACATTTTTGTTAATATACTTTGTTTTTGTACATGTTTACCTCGCCTTACGTCACAGAAACCCGCTAATCTCTCACAGGATCGAGATTAAAGACAGCGACGGAGGCGGAGCTATCTTTAGAAAGCATCCGGGAGGAAATCAAGAATGATTAAAGGCGATGATGCTGTAAGGAAGGAATAATTAATTCCCCCTTCGTAATTGACAACGAGACGTCAGACACGAAGTAAATTGCATGAGACATATTCTTCTCCTCCCGCAAGAGAATTAACGAGCAAGCTATTTATCTCGCCTTAAGGTCTGATGAATCTTTTATTCTTGGAGTCCAGAAATTGAAGAATTAAGCTCATCTCTCTCTTTTAGGCTTTCTTATCGTTCTGTGATCGGGCGGGGTGAGGAAATCTGATTTCCTGTTCCTTATCCATGCAATGTTCAAAAAGGCGAGATCCGAAAAAGAGGGTGAAATACGTAATTCTGAATTTGACCATACAGGTACCACGAATGCAATACAGAACGAAATTCTGTTTCGTCTTTTTTTTTTTTTTACCGATGTGTGCAACGAAGTGAACCATGGATAAAGAGCGCGAAAAATGGCTTCCGATATTTCTTTTAAAGCGAGTTATTTATTTACGTTTATGCGAGTGTGCGTCAACGACTCCAAAGGACTGGAAACACCCATCAAATATATTTATTTTAGAATTTATTCTCCCATGAGCAGCCATTGCCCCAGCATTCACGCAGGATCAACATTTTTAGAGCTTTCTGTGATGGGAGAAAGCCGCTCTCCTAATCAGACTTATAACGGGAGCATCGATCCAACATTTAATTTTCGAAGCTGTATTTAGCCCTGAAAGGGGGATTAGGATAAGCTACCGATTCGTCACTTTGGACTTTTCCTAAAAGCCTTGCGGAAGAGCTGAAACCACGAACCCCAGACCATTAACATTTAAAGGGATTTTCCCACATTTTGATGAACCACGGCCGTTAATCTAGACAATTTCTCAGCTGGTCCCTGATTCACGAATCCAAAGGATCCTTGCATCGAGACGACCCGAAATCCTGACATGTCGGTGACGTTCGACCGACAGAACAGAACCTGCAGACCCGGCGCAGCTAAAGGAAACCCACCGAGCGAGGAATCTCTGTCGCGGATTCGTGATTTCCGCGGGACCGGAAATATTCCCGGATTATTCCCATCTCTTCCCATACAAGATTCCCACGGCCAGATACTGCGCGATGGTCCTGCTTCGTCTCCACGGCCTGGGCACTCGAGATTAAAAGAGAGTTTTCAGCAACGCATTCAGGGCGGGGAAAAAATTATTTAATGAGATTCATTGTCTCACATTAACTGCAGTGTGGGGATAAAATTTAGGTTTTCGTCAAGGTTCCTGACGACTGCTGCAAAACATCCATACTCAAGTAGTTATGGTAACCAGACGAAGCGGAACGTGAACTCAACAGAGTAAATTCCCTCCGCCTCAGTTACCCATTATTGTCAAGCTCTTAAGAGCAGAGCATTCCCTATTAACGGCGCGGGATTTCGGAGAAGAAATTTGGATGGAGACTTGGAGGCCCGGCCCTTTCATCTGAACTACTTGGGCTGGCGCTAGCTGTAAGCCCTTGTAACCTTTGCAGGCGGCTGACGGGCCAAGTCGGCCCGGCCTGCTCCATGGGCCTTGCAGGCTGTAAGCCGGCTCGCCCATGTGTAGTGGGAGGCGGTAAACAATCCTCTCCTTTCCCTCGCTGCAAATTTTTGTGTTAGGCCGTTCCCCTTGATGAATATCTCCCTTGAGTCAAAGCTAGCGTCTCCCTAATATAATTCCCCCCCCCCTTCTTTTTCCGGGATCTGCAGCACAGGGATGGGGGGAGAAAATGAGGTTACGCCTTTCCCCTGGGAGGAAGCAACAATTTCCTCTCGTCAGATCCCATCATTCCTCCCACCTATATAATCCCTACTCTATGCACAATAGCCTATTTTTGGATCGCATCACCGTAATTGATCCCAATTTCGTGGCAATTTAGGCCACGAAAATAGCTTTCATAAATACGATATGTAGAAAGCCTAAAAAATTGACATTTCCTGCCTGCATTCTATAAAAAGCCACCGTGCTTTCCATGAGATTCATTATTGCCAGGGTTGCCGATGTGACAAACAAGCCGCTCTCAGCCAAATCGACTCCCAAAGGGAGATCGATAAGCAGGAAGTTGATGCAATAAGGAAGATTACCTTCTGCTCGTGGCAATCTTCTTCCTACTTTCAGGCAATCTGGTTCTAATAAATAAAAAATCCCACGATTATGTTTATGTTTATGTCAGGATTATGTTTAGCCTTCCCTAACTTTAACCACAGTTCACAAACGTAGTAAATTTGGCATCTTCTAATTTTTTAACCATAAAATCAATAGGAAATTTATAAAATAAATACATTTCTGAATCATACGATCGCCCACGCACTCCATCCACCTTTCCTCGTTTTCCTCTTTCCTCCTTCGGGCTTCGTATTATCAAGGAGACTCAACTTTCTATCTAATCGGCATGTTTTTCTTTCTTTGTGCCGCTGCAGACATTGGACAAGTTCGACGAAGCGTGATCGGGATGGACAATGTGAGGGAGAGAAGGAAAGGAGAACGGGCGAAAAAAGGTAATGAGAAGAACCCCGAGTGCTGGATTTAGTCGTGGCACGAGGAAAGACGAGAAACGAACCTCGTGCCCCCGTCTATTCTCGATTCGTTTCGCCCGGTTGCTTCCGGTAACGTGACGACCTCTTCAGTCGAGGGCTTTTGCATTCGTGACTTTATTCTCGCTTCTTGTAAAATTACGTGGACTTGTGATTTCTTCTCCCTAGTGTATACGTTTGATTGAACCTCGAAATATTTTTCTGATATGCATGCTTACGCGTTGTGATAATTAATTGATTATTCGCAAATTAATAAAAAAAAATTCGTTAATGAAATAAACGAATTTCTCGCCGGAAAACCGAACTGTGTTACGTCATTTTCATAAACCCCATGACGCTACAACCGTGGAGTAGCAAATTTCATGCGATACAA